TATATGGGCTATTTGACCAAGATGATGAGTGATGGGATGCTGCATCAGATGACCTGGCCTCACTCAACCTAAAACCAAATGGGACAGTTTGGGATGAGTTGGACAGCAGAGTGAAGGAAAAGCAGCTAACAAGTGTTCTGTTGTGTAAGATGCCATGTTACTCCAATTAAAACCACAGAGCACAAGAACAGCAAAGCTTAGAATTGGATTTTAAACTAGGCCAAGTGCAGGCTGTCAAGAGTCAAAGTGCATGGAAATAGCCCCAACTTTACTATAACAAGCCCTCTTAACTCAGGAATGCTGTCATTGCTGGTGAGAAGCAATTAGAGGTCCACACTGAGCTAATTTAGTGGGGACCTCAGGGGTCAAGAGTGTTTGAAATGCACTGTTAATATACCTTTCACTTCTACTAATGGCAGAAGATAGAGGGCAAACAAAGCTGCTACTCTAAAAACCTTAGGTGCACTTTGCTGCAGCCACAGGGAGCCATCTTAGAACAACGTGAGTTTCAAATTCTATTGAATTCAGTTTATTAAAAAGGAATTTATAAAAATACAATTCTGGAGAAGCATGTTACAAAGAAATATGTCAAGTTACCGGAAAAACAATCCATAGTACATTCTATTCCATCCAAAATGTCAGTCATGTAATACCATTCAAAATTCAAAAATGTAACTGTTTTAAATTCTGACACAGTCAGAAAGCTGTTATGCGAGTTGTGAACAATAAAGTACTGTATGTGCATCCAAAGGGAAAGATCCCAGCACATTATATAGAAATCTGTTGCAGATACTTCTAGCATCACTGCCATACTAGAAGACCAATATTTCCTAAACATTTCCTTTAAGAATAAATTTTAGAGATCTAAAGCCAGTTCTGTACGAGGTGGAAAATATTGACTTCAACAGCTCACACGACTTTGAAGTACTAGATAAAAATGCTTTGCCTAACTGTTTTCCAACCAGTTCTCTTTTTATCCAGAAAGATCTGTGCACAGAACACAGCACAATAGGGCTTTTAGTATATTATTATCCACCATTAAATTGTCATCAAAACACTTGGTATTCTGTTTACAGTTTGTGAAAGAGTTCACTCTATACAGAAGGAGATTAAGCTGGGGGAAGAATGCAGGCCAGAGTATTTCTGAGAACAGTGACTAGTGTGCAGATAATGAAGAGAATGGTTTGGAATCCATACAATGTGTCAGGTTAACGCATCTTCCAAATCTCCATGCTGGGACTGTGCTGGCACTTTGGTGTATTTGATTTAAACATTTGCAAATGGGCTTGATTGTCATCACTCAGTTTTGCCAAACACACACAGACAAAAGGCGTACGCACTGACACCACAGGGCCACCACAGAGAGACAATACGCTGAGCCAGAGAGGCATTAACAATCTGATTTCTACCACAAAACTTATTTTCAAAGATCACTCTTCACTCTTTCTAAGATCACACAGATATGCCACAGAGTGCAGCTGGAAGCCATCACCCTGCTGCAAAATCAAACACAGTTGGATTAGCCATCCCAAAATTTATTTTCTAACTCAAATCCCAGAGTAAATAGAGAGTAGAGGAATTAAACAATGACAAGGACGTTGGAAACAAACTGTTATAATTTTTTGAAAGTTTGCACCAGATCAGGCGATCGATGTTGACACAGAGCAATGGAGATCAGAAAGGAAAAAGAAACAAGAGCTTTGGGATGTACTTGGTCATGGCAGGCCGGAACAACTTCCGGGATGAACGAAGATCAAGGACAGAGGAATGATAAAATAAGGGAAATGGGATTCACTTACTGACAGACACAAGGAAAAATGCAGTGGAACAGCAAAGTGGAACAGAGCACATCAGCCCTCCCGAATTCCGCTGGATTGCAAGTATGGGAAGCTCCAGGTTTTGGTTAAGTTCTCATGGTGGTAAAAGGCCACATGTTCAACACGTGCCTATCAAACAGCTACTCGCGTGACTAGGGATCATTTATCTAGCAATCAATGCCTCAGGAATCATTCTCAGTATTGGTCCACAAATAAAAGCAGCATGTGGTGACAAACGCAGACACAGAGGTGCTTGCTTCATCCCCACGTCCTCTCTCTCTGCCCATTTCACTCACCTCTTCCTTAATTCACTCAAACTCTGGCAGCCCACATTAAGACACAGAGGACTGCTCTGACAGACAATCTAGTATTCCAATAACCAAGCAGTCTACTGGAGATAAAGCCTAGGCAAACTGCTGTGAAGCAGTGAAAGAAATCAGCAGTGGAATAGCAGATTTCTCTTAGTCCAGGTGTGTACCATGGCTCCATGTGAAGGTATTAGAAAAAATAATTAGACTGCCACCATTTATTAACCTCCTATATAAAAGTCTGTTGCTAATTTTAAAAACTGATAAAAGTTAATAACTTTATTGTGATGGCAGCGTAAATGGGCAGCTAGTGACTGCAATGCTGGGGTCAATCCTTTCTTCATCTCTAGGCTAAGACAATTTACGGAGTAAATGTGCGATAGTGCTTAGAACAAAGGAAGTGATAAACAATAAAAAAGATAACAATAAAACACAACAAAAACATAACAATAACAAACCAGAGAGAGCAAAGAGAGAACTACTACACAGACAAAGAGGGAAGGGGAAAATCCTTTATGTGGCTGCTACTCAGGACTTCATGCTTGATCCATGTGTTGTTTATTACCTCTTGCTTCTTTGTTTCTACCCTACTTCCAGCATACATACCTGCTGTCCCAACAACACACCAGCAAAACTAATAGGAAATACATACACACACACACACACACACTAGATTAAATTCCAGCATCCTTGCTCCAAGCTGGCGTGAGTACAACACACTGTTGCTTATCCCGCCAGAGCTTCCACCAGAGGCTATTTTCCAATCAACTCAAAAGAAGGGCTTAGCAGGTAAGCCCAGGCCATTGTCTATGGAACTGGATGGATGAAAAAGACAACATGAGAACATCCTCTGTGCTTGCTCAGTTGTTTTAATCCAGTGTTGGTTGTAATTACATTCCAAAAACAAAGTTAGTAATCAGTCCAAGAGATAATTATCAAATTTCTACAAAATCCTACGGTGAATCCAAGTGCTTGTGTTTTTGTTAAGTGTGGTCGAGAGAAAGCCAGCCGGCACAAAGCTCCGCACTATGTGGGTCCTGGAATGCCTTGTTCAGCCTTCTAGGTGTTGTGGGCCCAACTCGGTGAAACACCAATTAGTGAGAGGGTGCCAACCTGATGACCCTGTGAACTTGCCTTCACTCCTATACCCACACAGAACCTTTACTGATGTTGGTGACAATAGCTATAGTATTCTTCTTTTGGTTTGACAGTCTTGGTGGAACAGTGTCAGTGGTTGGACACCAAGCCAGCTGGGCCAGCCACTGTATAACCTGAGCAAATACAATGCAGATGCTGTGTGTCAAACCACATATCTGCCCCTTGCTTGGGTGAGGTTAGGGATGCTTTGTTTTAAGGGTAGGTTGGATTTGGTAAATGGTGTTGCTTATTCTGGGGGCTCTGAAGATGATTTATGATGGCCTGACACAAGTAAACATCATTTAGCTCATATACTGTGCTTCCATATGAATGCTCTCCCATTTTTTGGCACATTTCATTGTCTATTATTGACCCATGGAAAAGCAGACAAATGCAGTATTTGGCAAAAATGTCTGAAATCTGTAGTGGTTTATCCAACAAAACACATAAGAACACATAAGCCCTAAAAAGTCTGCCTAACAAGGCTGTGTAGGCAACCAGCAGTTCTGGTTACAAACCCGCATGACATGAAACATCCCCTGAATGGAACACATATTGTTTGCATGTCTCAATTACAGCCTGAATTCCCTCACTTAAGAAATACACACACGTACTGTACATGGAAACATGTGTGTACTTACTCAGAGAAATGCATGTAAAGATGCACAAACACAACATATGCACATATCTATGTGAAGTAGGGTATGGTTTGTGCAGAGTGAGAACAACAAGTACTTAAACTTCACACACAGGTTTAGCCCAACTCTTCCATTCCCACTAAACAGAACCTTGTGTGTGTGTGTGTGTAGACATGAACAAGTGTGTTTGGGCTTGGCCAGTGAGCAGTTCTCTCAGGTTACACATATACAGGAAGGCTCAGAGCAATAACAAAGGGCTTTCAAAAGAATTCTCAGCAGGTTAAGATAAAATGTTTTTGCTCAAAATGATAAAAAGCATCTGCAGGTTAAATGAACAGGTGCTGGTATCAGTGGCATGGTATGCACTGCAGATTGTCTGGCACTGATTAAATTAGAACCTACGCTGCCTCACAGAATCCTAAGAGTGAGTCTATGTGTCTGCTCTGTTTGTGTGTCCAGTCCACTGATGACAGAAGCACCTGTGAGGTTTAGTTCCAGCCTTAAATCCATAGTCTGACAACAATGTTCAGAGAGAGGAACGGAAAATGGATAGTGTGGACCTCCAGACTGCAAGCAATCAGTTGCATTTTGTTAGCAAATTTATTTAAGGTGGGACCAAATTCTTTCAAAGGTCACACTGGGTGTGACTGCAAAACAAACCGTTTGTGCACAAACAACCGCTCTCACTTTGGAACTGTGGACAAACCGAACAATCTTCGCAATACTGTTATCACAACATTTATATACAGGTCTGTCACTCGCTCCTCTCACAAAGCAGAGACTTCTGATCTATCAAAAGTGTCAATCCACACCGACTCTGAGAGACATGCGTCATCCCTTTTTGCACTTTGAGTCTATTTTTTTCCTTTGGTGCATTTGAAGTGTAACTGCCACAGACAGCTGCTTAAATCAGTTAGGTCAGACTATTTATGTATTAGAAACTTTTTACTTGAATCTCTTATGATGGGTCGGGCTCCCGGTGTCACTGAACTTTCTGGTTTTGCCTCCCCACCTCCTCTGTAGCAAGATGGGGAAATAATAAAATTGAGCTGAACTGTGCACAAAGCAGACATCACCAAAAAGCAGAAATTCTTCAGAAGAAGACATTGGGCAAATAGGCTAAATCATGGCCAAGCATGTGCGGAATTCATACTTCAGTTGAAATAAAATAGCCAAATTACCATCAGTGTCATCATTATCTTCATGTTGACTACTGGGCTATAAAGCACTAAAGTGATTACACAAAAAAAGAGGTGGAAACTTGTTCCAGAAGTGAATTTCTCATTCATTGTGTTTTGTAAGTGTCTCTCCCTGAATTTCATTATAAATATAGGCTGTGTACATTGGGTGGTAAGGGTGTTTAAAATAATTTAAATACAGAGTGTTCTGCATGAAGTTGCAAAACATCTGCATCTGTGTTGTCAGGTTAGCATGTGAAGTGTGTGACAGTGCCACACAGTGTATGACATTATCACAGGGTGTCTGCAGCTTTTACCAAGATTGAAATTTGACTTTATAACCTAATGGATGCCTGCTGTAAACAACTGGCCAAAATGGAAACAAGCTTAAATTGATAAAGTGAAAGTGTGAAATTGTAAACAACTGTAAGCCTATCATCACGGAGGCCTCTGTGATGAGGCTTTTACCAGAAGAAACAAAGCACCAACATAGTACAATGTGAAAAACTGAGCAAATTTAAAGCAAAATGAACTTGTTATTCTTTTGTAATTTTGAAACACTATACTCACCAACCTCTGATTACTTCTAGTATATCTGAGAACATGTCTAAGTCCAATGAGCAGAGCAAAACAAGGAATCAGACGACCAGAAGAAGATGTAAAGCCAAAAGTGCAAAAACTGTAAATGTTGCCACTAATACTGAATGTACAGAAAACACGTGTGTGGACAACTGCAGTAACAGCCTTTATTGTGAAGGTGGCTAAACTCACATTTGCTTCACAGTAGTTTGCCACATCTGCTAACTGATTTCTAGGGGGGAAGCTTTGGGTAAGTAAGACTGTTCAAACCTGCACAAGGAAGCCTGTGGGACTGTGATGGGTGTTTGCAGCAGAGGGCTTGGACAATTTTACCTTAGACTTTTGTTTTTCCCTTTAAATTAAGTTTGTCTCACCTGGACTTTGTCATAGACCTGTTCCATTGCATCTTACCTGGAAGCCTTGGATGTGAGCCAGGTAGTCCAGCTGCTGCGCAGGCTGCACCGAGACGCCGCAGGCAAGGGCCGGGTTCTTCCCCTTCATGGAAAGGGAGGCATCGACTGTAGGTGACTGACCATTAAGCAGTAGCTCCCTGGCCATGGTAGCAGTTGGACTGGTTGAGGAGGCCGAGCTGCTATAGTATGGAGTGTGTCCGGGGGGCAGTGGGACAGAGCAGGGCCCCATGTCTTTGGAAGAAATATAGTTGACAGAGCCGCCACTGCTTCCACCAGAGCATGGAGCACTGCCCGCCTGCTTTCTGCTGGCCTCCATCTCCTGGTAGACATCAGGGCTGAGGTGGAGTAGACCTTTTTGGGCTGGTGTAGGGTACAGGGAGAGAGGAGGGAGGATAGATGAGACAGAAGTTTAGAGATGATGGACAGAAGAGAAAAAAGGAACAAAAGGGTTGGATGAATGGATAAATTGACAGATGAGAAGAAGGTGGAAAAGTAGCAGATAGACAACAGAATGAATAGATAGAAATTGGGTTTATAAAGGAGCAGAAAGAAAGAAAAGTAGAAGATCAGGCGAAAGAGAAGAAAGAAAAATGTTACTGTGGCTCTAATTATTAATACTCTATTTACACATACATATTCCTCTACCAATCACTAACAAACCACCCCAGGGGACGTCTGTGCATGTGCATGGGTCCAGCTCGAGTGTGTATATGCGTGTGTTGGCTCCCAAACTGGCATTCCATCACTGAACGTAGATGACAGTTTCATGTGGTTTGGCAGTTCCAAGCACTATCAAAGTGTCTGCTGGGAAACACACACAGCTTCTTTCTTACAAACATACTGACACAAACAGAGCATCCACCAATATCAACAGAGCAGCTATGACTTCATCTTTGATGGGAAACAGCACCATCAGCTAACCGGCACACAGGCACGTCAGAACTCTGCAGCAGGTTCGGTCTCAGATCAAATGTCTCATGAGAATATTTTTGTGAAACAAGGAAGCGATCCAAGCAATTTTGATCTGAGAGGCCAAAGCACCTTTATTGTCAGTACAGTGTTTTTTTTTTTTTTTTTTTTTTTTTTTTTACAGCATGCATCTCAATCCAGCCATGCTGTGGTTCTTGCCAGCTGGACTCAACAGGGCTATGTTCTGATTCAGACCATTTGGGTAATTCTCATTTGATTATATTGATTTCCTACACTCTTACATCACTGTCCTGAAATGGTTGTGATAGGTGAAAGGAGGAAACATCAGCTGGCTGATGTTCAGTTGTTTGGTTATAACTGCAGTGAAAGCCAGTGAAAGGAATACAAGATGTGAAAGAAGAACATGCAGAGATGTGAAGGGAGGATAAAAGAGAAGGATGAGCTGGGAGTCAGTTCAGACAGAGGAGGTGGTGGAGATGAGTGGAAAACCATGAAGAGCCTCCAAAGCCCAGCCAAGGTCACCAGAGACAGGAAGACCAGCTGTTTGTGTCTGTATGTACACGTCTGTGGGCTTGTGTGTGTGTGTGTAGACAAACAGCTGGAAGAAAGCGCTGGAGTGTGCTCATGACTGACAGGCTACTTCCTGTTTGACCTAACATTACCGTCACACATACACACATGTACAAAGAGTTTTAGCTTCCTCCAGTCTAAAGTTTCTGGGAACCTGCAGACAATGTTTCCCATTCTGAACAATGAAGTTGGCATTTCTTTCCAGAATTACAGAAAAGCAGAAGGAAACAGCAATGAAATCCAGGACTTACTACTCATACTACAACAAGCTACCCCATGCCAGCAATGACACAATTGCTAAGCTCTTCCCCACTCCCAACCATGATGACATCTTTAATTTGAATTTACACAAGTAAAACCTGCAGGCCTGTGCATTATGAATGTAGCATTGTAAAAAAAAAGAAAGGTGTTAGCCAATGTGACATCACCACTGAACAAAAAGCATTGAGCAGCGGGGAGAGGGGCAGTGAATGTAATCCACATGAGTGTGTGCGAGACTGCCTAAGTGTGCATGCTTTCGCATGTGAGGCTGTTTGCATAAGAGTGAGTGACTGAAGCTGGTGTTAGATGGCAAGCGAGAGCATAAGAGCAAAAAAGAGCAAAAGAGAGCTAAAGAGGAAGAGTGGGAGTGGATAAATAAGAGTGACAGAGTGTGTTTGTGCGTGAGGATGTCGGACAGGGATTGTGAAATTGTATATGTGAAGTACAAGCAAGTTAGAAAAAGGAGCAAGCAGAGGGCGAATCAGAGTGAGGCTGAGAAATGGGGAATGAAAGAGTAAGGCAGAATGTGTTTGTGGTGCTAGTTCCAGGCAGTTCCGGAGGGGTCCCGTCCATGCTTAGCGTCCGGTGGACCAGGGGAGTGCTGGAAAGAAGCCAGAGCCAAGCATGAGACTGATCAAAAACAGATAGGGCCTGAGCCCGCTGCTATAAATCACCACGGCGGAGCAAGACCTTCACATAGTTCACACACGCACAGAACGCACAGACACACAGACATATGCACAGCAGGAAATGAAATGTGGCAACTTGAGTGAAAAGCGCTGCTGAAATACCCTTGGGAATAGAAAGGAAAAAAATAACTCTCTCCTTATTTCTTTTTCTTTCTTTTTACACTCCCTTCCTGCCTCTAAGCCAACATGTCTGTTGTTACACTGCATCCCACACCTCACACAGGATAACGGACGCTGACACAGACTCACACATAAATCCATAGTGTGGAAGAAGAATGGAAAGACAGTAATAATTGGACAGATTGTAAAACATTTAACTACTTTCTCCCACTTTTCCTCACATACCGCAGAAGTACTTAATACGGTTATTTTCTGAAGCTATAGATCTTAAGAATCACATCGTGTCAGACCCTATTTGCAAATCTGTACTTTTAAAATATCGCAAATTATGCATTGTTGACATCCACTTCTTTGCAATAAACTGCACAGCCAGTCAAGATAGATGGGACAAATAAATGGAGTTTATGCAATACATATAATTCAGACATTAGTGCTGTGTGACTTCTGGGAAACTTTTAAGAGCTAATTAGCTGACAGTTAAGTCATCATGATCAATGTTAAAAAAAATTTATGAGTGAGAATGACAGTGGATCAAACACACACTCCAAGCCAGCAATAGGAAAAATAAGGAAGACGGTTTCCCACACAGCTCTTCTCTGGAAGTATTGCCACACCTGGAACTTGGGCTACCATAACAACCAAAACCACCAAAACAGTTTATCCAACAATACTCATAGCTATGGACAATTGAATCTATGAATTTAGATGACATATCTTTAAGACAATTGGGTTAAACCACAGATGTGAGTGAGACAGAAGCTGTGGCAGGGACTCCATTCTCATCCATGTGATTAGTCTTACCAAAGCCTCGCGTCCATTCTCCTCTCTAGACTGAAGCTATATATTCCTGTGTCAGAGCACTGCAGTGCTGCCAAACGCCTCCATGAAAAGCAAATGACAACAGCATATTCAAATCGAATAAGGATGTCTGTTTTCCATTTATCTGCTTCACATCTCACAGACTATTCATTTGTTCCCTAGGCTTCTCTTTTTTAATCTGCTGGTATTTACTTTGGTATAAGTGTGTGTATGTATTAAGGGTATCACGTACCCATGTAAATTCATACAGAAAAATTGGCCTTATACTATTTAGTATTTTTATACAAGTGAAAATGTCCATCAGTCTGTCATTCAGATATACGAAACATTTCTTATTACGTTCCTCAGAGCTTCGTTCAGGGCTATGTTCAGACATACCCACAATAATGAACAGGGCAGGAGAGCAGGGACTGTCCACAAAGTGCAACACAAGAAAGAGCTATTACAAAAATATTCATTCATAGAGTAGTTCACCAAAATTACTTCACTCATCACTGGTCTTCTCTTGGTTATACCACAACTTAAGTTTAAAAAAAATGTCTAAAAGCAAAGCTATTGAATATTTTTGTAGTGTCTCTTTTTGCTTTTGCACTTTGGAGATGGTCCCTGAGCAGCCGTCTCACAACTGGCTGCACATACCATATAATATTTTGATGAAGATTAGATTGAAGGCTTGGTATTATGCTACCTTATTAAGTTTTAGTATTTTTCAGGTGAGAAACTAACCATTTAGATTTAAAATATCTGGTTGGCCTATCTCAATAATGCATATTTGCTCCAGTGTTTTTAGATATGTGAGTACCAGTGGGCCAAGCTGTCTCCATCATTTTCTCTTTCCGCATCATCATCAGAAATGAAATTTCCTGCTGTTTCGAATATTCGAATGCCAAAATTGAAATCCGCTTACCTACCCAAAAAGCAAATATCAGAATAGTTGAATATTTGGGTCTGGCCATAAACAGCACTGCTAATGGGTTAATATGATCTTTTGCAGCTTATTTTGCCTCACTCTGTCTATAGCCGTCATATGGCGGACACATATAGAGATAAGTGAAATATATCTTGCTTCACAGAAACTCCCATATCATGACATTATATATCCTGCCTCACCGTGCACATTGTCTCTCTGTCTGTGTAGGATTAAGGGTATATGCGTGTGCATCTGCACTCCTGCGTGCTTGTGTGTTAATCCTGAGTGAAAGGCTACTTTTTTTTGCACAAGAAGGCATTGGGGGGACTCCCCGGAGGGCCTCAGTGTGCCAGCCCCATAAGCCTGTGTGAATGAGCCTGAATTCGCAGGCTCCCCACGAGGACGCTCGGCTGATTAAGCTGACAGAGACTCATTGAACAGTCACAGAGATTAAATGCCGGGCCATCTCGCTGGCTAAAACCACCTGTGAGATGAGGGAACAGTGAAGAGCTGGAGAGGAGGAGGAGAAGGAAATGGATAGAGACACAGGGAGACGTGCAGATACTCACTGTTACTTGTTGTTTCGGTAAAAGGCGCCTTTTGTCCATTCCAGCCTTTGTTGTCCAGCTGCAGAGATGTGGTGAGAAGGGTGAGGTAAGACAGATGTAGATTCTTGAACAGACAGCTTCTTCACACATGTCAGACAAGTTCCTTCCTACTGTTTGGGCCACAAAGACATGAGTTCTCACAGGATGGGATGCTTAAGGAGCCTAGTGTCTGTCTAGCCCTGTTACTTAATTGTCAGCATTTAGTAACTTAAAAAAGGCTCCTCCTCTTTGTGTTACTTCACAAGCATGTGTGTGAAACAAAAAACAAATCATGTCTGATGTGTGTGACAGCTGAGGAGCTGTGCTGAGAGAGAAAAACAAAGACAACCATCCCACAACAAAAGAGCTTGGCGCAGACAATCACTCCATAGAGCTCAGGGTTGTCTAAGGATCTAAAGAGAAGTAGGCCATCCAATTACTCCTTATAGAGATGTTTTCAGAGTTGTCAGGCCAGTGCACAGCTATGTAACAGCCACTAACTCCATTCTGCCTTGAATGTAACCAGAAGGGTGTCCCTGCAAATTTCCAGTACATCGGACTGGAATTATCTGAAAACTTCTACATCAAAATCTAGTTATTTATAAGGCTATTGAGAGAATTTTCAGTATGCAAAGAGTTCAGAGATGTGATGTGCTGATGATTTTAGACATTTGTCAGAGGAACTACATAAAAACCCAAACTGAATAATATCATGAATATTTAGTGACAGGATTCAGGCTAAGGGAAATATTGACTGTGTTGTGGTTTCTTTGGAGAATATGACTCAACTTCACAGTCATTCTGATAAGAGCAATGTGTAATCATTTTTCTATGGCATGGCTGTCTGCATAAAGATACTGTGTATGCAGCAACACATACCTAACTAATGAGCTGTTCAGGGAACACTGAATATAACAATAATATACAATTGTGGATATGCGTTAACTTGGTGTCACACTTTGAGAATTGGAATAATCTTTATTGACCAAGTATGTTTCACACACAATTTGACTCCAGTTTCTAGTGGCTCTGATTGTACACTTTCACACAGCATCAGTAGCAACGTTCAGGAGAAAAACACATATAGCAAACACAAGGATGACAAAGCTGACATAACTAATCAATATACATATCTACATTGTCCAGCTGTCTCTGCAGCTGGACAACAAAGGCTGGAATGGACAAAAGGCGCTACTTTGTACAAGCAAGTAGGTATGTATACACACACACACACACTTGCATACATAAAGATGCAAGTGTGGTGTGCCTATTTACACATTTAAAAATTGATCATATTTAAACATTTTGTCCTGGTGAAGACTTGACTGTGACTGAAATGCTGCATGTTTAAACAAATTTGTGTTTTGGAGTCTGTGTGCAGATTTCAAGCAGCCTTGTACCCACATGTGATACAACTACAGCTTCACTTGTTCTTGACTGATGATGAAATAAATTCTAAGCTGCCGTCCAATGAGCACTTAAGTTACTTTTCCACAACAGCATTTTGTTCATGCAAACTACAGTAATCATCCACTAAAGTAAATGAATAGTTATGCATCCCAGCAGAGCAGCTGGATATAAAATATATACAAGTTGGTGTAAGTAAGCAGCAAAGTAGAGTCCATACCTCGGTGGAGTTCTGAGGGCCTGTGGAAGCCTTGTACCCCAGCTGTAGCAACATGGCCTCGGCTGCGTTCCGCTTGGCCACCTTCTTGTTGGGTCCTGTTCCCGTCGCAACCTCGTTGTTCACCTTCACCTGCATGTGCACAGATGCAAGGGAAGCAGTGCTGGACAAAGTACTCTGATCCTTTACTTAAATAAACATAGCAAAACAACAGTTTAAATGTACTCTGTTCTGAAATAAAACGCCCTGCATTCAAAATGTTACTTAAGTACAAAAGTATTAGCATCAAAACATAATTAAAGTACTAAAAGTAAAAGTATATATTTAACTTTAATGTACATTATACTATTGAATTATAATTACTGTTACATTATTGTCACTTTAATGTTGCAGCTGATAAAGGTGGAGCTAATTTAACTACCTTATATGCTTATATTATGAATTACCGCTGGGTAGCTTGTGAATTTTCCACCCAAAATCAATCATCTTATGATAATACTGTAATTTTTGTATTATGTGGTTATGAAAAATACCAAAAGTTATAAAATAAATGTAGTGGAGTAAAAAGTACAATATTTGCCTCTAAGATGTAGTGAAGTCAGAGTATGAAGTAGCACAAAATGTAAATACTCAAGTACAAATAGCTCATAACTGTACTTAAGTACAGTACTTTATAGCTTTCTGGGCTGAGTCACCCGTGTAATTTACATTGCACAAAAAGGCTCCAAGTGAAGTGTTTGTTTTTCAGTCATCCCAAAATATTAAATCTGTCTACACTGACTGTAAGCAGATATAACCAAGAGAAAATCAGATGTCGTTATGTTATTCAAACAGACAATTACACTGTACAAATAACATTCTGGGAGCCAAAGCCTGTGAACAGCCAACCCTTAGTGCACTTTTTCAGAGTGGCCTGACATGCTCAACCAGTGCTCATCTGAATGCATCAAGCAGGCCACAACACACACGGAGAAAGAAACCTCAATACATTACTGAGCTTCTATAATAAACACAGTTACTCTTATATTAAAATTTTAAAAGATCAGCCCCTAGGAGGCTTTTGTCAAAAGGTAGAAAAGATTTTCTGCAACTCCTGATGGGGCCAGGCAGAGGATGTGAAAACAAGACATTTATTGAGTCCTGCTGCTTACCAAGAGTAGGTGGACTGCACAAACAGAACACACACACTCACAGGGCTTAATATGTGTATCAAAGAAGCATGGAGAATAGGTTAGGGCTGAATTACTGCCTGATGCTAAAAGAAGTTCTGTTGGTCTCATGAAAGAAGTTTATAGAAACAGAAACAAAGAGCAAGATTTTGACTGAGAGATACAGAGAAGAGGAAACTGCAGTTAAATTGTTGTGCATAAATTAAAATGGGCTAAGTTACGCCAGCTTTGCTGGTTGTTAGCAAATCCAAGAAACAGGCTGCTGAATTGGGCTGACTCTTGTTAAAATACACTGATTGAAGCAATTGTAAAAACAAGCAAAGGACAAGAAAACACATTTGTCTTCAGCTCACTTTTTCCCAAGGAAATCTAAATGTTCACTCTGAACAGAAAACTGTAGCTGTTTGATATAACTGTCATTCATGATTGCAGCCCTGTCAGTGCATATTAGCACATTTTTGTTCCCACCACAAAGACTGCTTAGCAGTTTTTTAGTATCATTCACACGTATTCACAGGCATTACATCTGCATGGAGTTGATGGCCTGGTTACTGTGAATAACTACATTTCTGTAGCAGTGTAACTGAAGCACGGTCACATTAAGTAAAAGAAGCCTGATTTTACAGAATATGCTGGATTATTGGATGAGAGCGTGTATGACAGCTGAATGAAAACAAAATTGCATTTTTTTCAAATTAAAGTGTGATTTTAGTGCATATGCACCAAGCGATATACACATAATCCCTGCGCTTCCCTATCTCAATTCCACTTCATTTAGACTGCATTAGCTAAAGCTTCTTCTCATATCTGTTTTGGGACACTGGCGGCTTGTAGCAGGAAGTGTGACAATGATTTGATACTCAAAGCAATATGAAACAAATCCACCATTTACCTGCATGATGAATTCCCGGCGTCGGGGCATCCCCCTCTCAGAAAGCAGCAGGTACTCGGGCTCCTTCTCCTTCTTGGCCTGCTGGATCTGGGCCAGACGGCTGATAGGATTCATGCCCTGGCCATAGTCTGGTCCTGTCTGGGAGAAAAAGACAAAAGACATGATGATCAATTCCAGTTTTAACATTATCATATCATCAAAACTGTTATCAGTTTGCTATGCTTAACTAAAAATAGATAATTTACAAAGGTACATGGGTGAATGGGACAGTGGATGGATCCAAAAGATATAGAGCTAAGTAGGATAACACAGGTAATTAATAATGTCACAGTGCCATCTGAATTCACAGCCTGCTTTTAGACCCAAGCTCTTGCTTTTGTCAGTTTAGCTGATGTACCTTGAGGATGGTCTTGGTACGTTTCTTGTAGTGTGTCTTTGTTTTCTCCAC